GTGTGTGTGTGTGTGTGTGTGTGTGTGTGTGTGTGTGTGTGTGTGTGGTGGGAGCCATTATGTGAGAAAAGAACAGCAGATCTGTGTGAAAGATGGCAGCCTGTAGCCCAGGGGTGGGAAAAGCCGATATAAACTTGGGTGTGTCCGCTGGGCTTGATTTGACTGAAGTAAAGTAACATCCCAATAACAGTGGCCCAAGCAAAGCTGTGTGTTACCCTCTTCCCTACGTCTAACAGGCGGCCATGGAGGGCCATGCTGCTCCTATCTTGGCCCATCACAGGCCCAGGCCTCCCTCCCCTGCAGGAAGCACTCTCTGGGCCTCTCTGGGGAAGCAGCCTGAAGGGCCCACACAGGGTGTCTCCTGTCACGGGTGTTTTTCCAGCACAGCTGTCTGTCATTTCCCTGTTCCACTGGAACCCCATTAAGGCTGAGCCAAAATAGCCCCTCTCTCTCTCTGGGAAATATACTGGGTCTCACAAAGATAGACTGGCCGGGGGAGGGCACAGAGGAATCGCCTCAGGGTGAAGCAGAACTCTGCACTGAGAGTAGGGAAGTCTGGCTTTCTGGTGCTGGCCTACAGCTGTGTGACTAGTGAAGCCCCTTCCCCTCGTGACCCCATGAAGTGGCCTTTTAGAATGCAAAACAGTGGTAGTCATTGACTGTCCGCTGGCTGGAATGTGTCCCTCCGCCCCCATAGGTAAGGCCAAGACACTAAGGCTTGGAAACTGTGGACACTGAACCCATTCGCCCAGCTAGTGAATGCAGAGCTTCTGCCCTGTGCCAGCCCCGGGCTACCACATAAACAGGCTCCAGCCACTTGTCTTTGACCCCAGAGCCAGACCGCAGAGGACCTGAATGAATCATTGCCCAAGCAGATGTAATACAAGGACAGTGAGTGGCTTTAGAGTCAGTGTATCCCCTCCAGGGCACAGCCTCACACTGAGTCAAAGCCAGATCTGAACCAGACTCCACACCAGCCCCAGGCTCAGAACCCACCAGTGACTTAAGCCCAGACTCCTTAGCCAGTTCCTAGACCCCCAGATCCTGCCACTCTTGCTGTTTGCCTCTTCAGCCACCTCCCACCCTCCCCTGCTCCCCCTCTCCATCTCTCCTGGCCCTCCGCTGGTCTCAGGACCCCATCATACTCTTGCTGTTTTGTCTGCCTGGTCAGGCATTTCTTGAGCATCTGCTGTGTCTTGGCGGGCAGGAGTACACTCGAAGGAGATGTGCCCCTGGCCTGGAGCAATGCGTCTAGGAGAGAATTTAAATGAGGTGGACTGGGCACTGGAAAGGTGGCTCTAAGGACTGGAGCTCCTGACCTTGAACCGCGCCTGAGCAGACGGTGTCTGGGAGCTGAGACAGATTCCTTCTTCCCACCTTCCTCAGAGGTGGGACATCCCCTCTGAGTAACAAACTCACAGAAAGGTCCAGGAAATGATCTAACACTGCTCATGCTGGGAACTATATTTCAATATACAAGCAACATGAAAGTTACTGTGGGCAGGAGCCTGGGGTGGCAGCCTCTAGGGTACACTTTATAGTGCAGACAGTGACAATATTAAATGCTCGAGGACAGCAAAGTGGAGGGGTGACGGGATGTCCTACCTCACTCTTGGCTGGAAAGTATGCATCCTTTCCTTCTCAAGGACCACCCTCACTCTAGGGAGCCTTCCTGTCCTCCCTCCACCCCAACCTTGCCCTTACCCATCTGTTGCCTCCATAGTAGTGAGCATAAACTTCAACTCCAGGCCCTATACCTGCACTGAAGGTGTAAGTGTGTGTAAGTGTGACTTCACTGTGTGAAGTCAGCCTTCCTTGCCTCAGGAGTCCTATAAGGACAGGGCCCTTAGACTTGGCTCTTCCTTTGCCTTTCAGAAACTTGTGAAAGTCCTGCCTCAGGGAAGACTAGTCCTTGTTCTCCTACTTATTTCCTGTATGCAAGCCTTATAGGGGTCCCGACCTGCCTGGGTCTCCAGTCCTTCTACAGAGCAATCTTTACCACTTCTCAGGGCTGGAGTGGATGATATCTGGGACAAGGGACTGCAGAATCAGGGGAGAAGCCCAGAGTTTCACCCACGTCCTGAGCTTTTCAGGTACGAGGGATTGCAGAATCAGGGGAGAAACCCAGAGTTCCACCCACGTCCTGAGCTTTTTTACTTTTCCATTGCTCCCAGCAGTCCCTCAAGGTAGTACTCTTGCTGGGCCTATTTTGCAAGTGTGGAAACTTAGACTCAGAGAATTTACACTGATTTCCTCCCAAGGTTATGTGGCCAGTAGCAGCAAGGCCAGGGACCATTCCATTTTAGCTACTATGATATGTTGCCTCATCCACAGACAGAACTTCAACCCTCCCGTTCCTGCCTGGCCTCTTCTTGCTATATGCCATAGTACTTCCTTATGGGCTGAAGGTTCCTGGGAGAAAGGACATTACGGAGCCCTCCAAGTTTGGGAGGCCCAGATGCTAAATCTCTATCCCCTGCCAAAGGCTCTTACCCTGTTGTGCTGTCTGCCTTGAGAATTTGACAACATCTAGGTGACTCATCCCAGGGGACTCTAGGCAGGGAGAGAGGCTGGGAGCCGGGTTTCCATCTGGCTTCGACTTAGCATCTGTCCAGATGCTCCCAATGCATCTGCTCCGCAGAGGAGCTCCATTACACTGTCCTTCTGTAAGTTCTGGAGCCTTGCTAGGGGACCCCTTGCTAGGTGGGAAGGCCATGGGTCAGGATGTGATGTCCACCCCCTCCCTTGGACCAGCAAAGGACATGTGGCTTGTGGGGAGAAAGGATCAAGAAGACTGGAGAACCTAGATAGAAAGAGTTTCTCACAGGGCAGCTAGATGGGGTAGGCCATGTTCCTGCCTCGTGATTTATTTGCATCAGGCTGTTTGTTAGGCACACACAGTGAGAGCAGGAACTGCCATGTTCTTGGGCATTCAACCAAGGATTTAGCGATAGTGGCCAAATGGATATGATGGGAAGTGACCCCGGTTCTAGTCCTGTCTGCCGCTCTACTGGCTCTATGGGCCTGGGCCTCTGTTCATTCATTCTTCCCTCCCTCCTTTCTTCCCTGATTCCGCTTTTCCTTCATTTTCTTTTGAAACAAAATCTCTCTGTGTAGCCTAGGTTGCCTTCAAATTGGCAATCCTCCTGCCTCCACCTCCCAAGTACTACACCTGCTCAGCCTATTTCTTTAGTTTAACATCAGGGAAATTAGATCCAGGAAGCAACTGTGTTTTCTGGGGAAAGAGCTCAATTTTGGGACAGCCTGGACAGCTTTGGGACAGCCTGGACTATCTGGGGCATTTCCCAGGGGCATTTCCCCTAAATCCATGTCCTTGAGCAGGTTACCCAATCCAAGCTCGTCAGGCCACCTGTCAATGAGACTTCAGATAAGATGTTGCAATCTGTTTGACACACAGTAACAACAGTTTCTCTTTCCCAGTTGTCAACATCAATGAAACTTTGCCCTCAACAGTTACAGAGGACTTCCTCTACCTCTGCCAGAAGTCCTCCTTCCTTCTGCACCCAGACAGCTTCCCTTGTTGGTAGCATCTGGCGCTTGTCATTGCTGTTGGTTTCTAATTCTGAGACAGGGAAGGAACTCAAGCAGGTTTCGTGCACACGTGCGCCTGTGTGTGTGTGTGTGTGTGTGTGGTGCTCAAGCATGCATTGCTTGACTGTGTGCATACAGCAGCTATGTATTCATGAATGCACAGGTACACACATGTGCACCTACTTGTGAACATGTATTCATCTGCATGTGTGTGGAGGAAGCCAGTGGTCAATCTCAGGTGTCATTGTCATTGCTCACTTTTTTTTTTTTTTTTTTTTGAGCTAGTCCCTCATTGGGACCTGAAGTTCATGGCTTAGACTAGTTTGGCTAACCAGAAAGCTCCAGGGATCTTCTGGCCTCTATCTATCCCCAGTGCTGGTATTACAAGCACATACCACCAAACCCTCTTTCTCCATAGGTGCTGGTAATTGGACTCAGGTCCTCCTGCTTGTGTGACAAGCACTTCATCCACTGAGCCATCTTACCAGCTCCTCAAACAGAGCTCTTCCGGTCTCAGGTCTGGCTCTAAATATTCGGTGCCTTCCACTGCTTACGATGGGCAGGCGGCTGGCTGCTCACTGAGCCCCTCAGCAGCCCTGAGGCCACCTGGTAGTTCGTGCATGTGGCATAGAAAAGAAGGCCTTATCCAGATAGCCTTCCCACAAGGGTCAGAGCTAAAAATACCAGTAAGGTGGACTTTGGATCCTACATGAGACACCTCCCAGGTACTGCCTGACTCAGACTCTCGGAGAGAGAGATCTTGTGTGGATTCTCACCTGACAAGGACTGTGTCCGGGATGGGACCTGCCACCAGCAGATCAGCCCCAGTGTCCCCTCAGCCGACCTGAGTGGATGGAAGATCAGATGGCCCAGGCTGGCAGGATAAGGAGATGCCAGCATGGTGACCCAAGAAGGGATTTCCTGTCTAGAGGAAGTGGGAGTGAAGCCAAGCTGACTCACCTTCCTTCCAAGGCACTGGATGAGAAGGGGCCTCGTGGAACCTTTCTCCCCAGCGGAGCCTCAATTTCTCTCTTCTAGGAAATCGCTCTCCTCATTCTCATCCCCAGCATTTATAATAAAGTCATTATTAAAGTCATTTCTAGTAAAAGTGCAAGAGATTCCTTGTAGAGTTACAGTGTGGGTGAAATCCACAAGGCTTTAGAAGATGCTTAGCCCAGTGTGGTAGCACATACCTTTAATCCCAGCACTAGGGAGGAAGAAGCAGGTGAATCTCTGAGTTCGAGGCCAGCCTGGTCTACAAAGCGAGTTCCAGGACAGCCGGGGCTATGTAGAGAAACCCTGTCTCAAACAACACAAAGATGATGGGCACTTGTCCCAGATCATCAGTGACATTTGCTGGTCGCTACAATGACGACAGTAACTTCTGCTTACGGTGCTAAGGACTCTTTCCTTCCATATCATGAGCCCCACACTAACCTGTCAGGTACACAAGCTGTCCCCTGTCACAGTGAGGCCTGGAAAAGCTTGGGGCAGCTAATGGTGGAACCGTCTACCCCTCCCTGCCTATATCTAGAATCCCAGGGAACACTCTGACCCTGTTCTCTGAACACTTGGACCCTAGCAGTTGTACAGCGAGTCCTCAAAGAAGGGCCTCCTGGTGAGGCAGCCCAGGGTGTAAGCGCTGAGCAATGAAAAGTCTAGGGATGCATGCCCTGGTGTCCAGGAAGAGCCACTGACATAGGGACCAGGAAGGTTCCCAGCCATAGTGGCTGAGGCCAGGGTGCCCCCATGGCAGGAGGGGTCTTCACAGGTTGATACCTCTCCTGACTAGGACCTGCTGACTTCCTTCTCCCCAAGAAGCAGAGTTAGGAATGTAGTAGGTGAGAAGGGCAAGGTGCTTGGGGTTGAGGGGCAGGGTGTAGAGGATGTGGCAGAGTGTGTGCATACACACTAGCTCTAACAGTCTAGCTATAACCAGACTGCAAACGGTGCCTGAGGCTCTGCTCGCTCTTCCTGTCCCAGCCTCCCTCATGCATGCAGTGATTCAGAACAGGAAGGAGCTGTTGGCCCATTGGTCATGCCAGGAGTACCCCCGTGGGGAAAAGGGAAGTGGAGAGGGAAAGAAAAGGTAAGTCTTTCCAACCTTAGAAGGTTGCCCCAGCTGCAGCCGGCTGCTTCTGCCTCCTGATCCCAGATGGAGGTGGAGGGCCAGGGACTAGGCTGAGCAGAATACCCAGGGACATTCTGAGGCCTCTTCCCAGAAGCTACAAAGTAACAGAAAGCTAAGGAATGGGTGCTTGTAAAAAAACATAGCCCCTCCCCCACGGTGCTCTGCCCGGTGGCCTCGGGAGCCCTGACCCGCTCTGATTAAGAATACTGGGGTCTCCACCACCGGGAGATAGTCTGTATCAAAAACAGGTGCTGTCTTTTTTGAGATGGAGGTCTGTCTGGTCAAAGGGTTCTTTTGAAAACCTCTTCAGTGGTTCACTTGTCAATTTTCCAGAAAGCTGTGGAAACATTTGAGGTGTGATCTTTGAAGTCATGGGTATAAATGGAAAACATAAGCCATTTCCTAGGGCAGGAGAAGACCGTGTCTTTGGGGAAGGCGCGAGGGCAGTGTCTAGGCCTGACCTCTCCAGGGCTGGTCTGGGGCCTCTCCCTCCAGCTGGGCTCCATCGTTTCTCTCTTCCCCTTCAGGATGTGAAGATCTTCCGAGCCCTGATCTTGGGGGAGCTGGAGAAGGGGCAGAATCAGTTCCAGGCTCTCTGCTTTGTCACCCGGCTGCAGCACAATGAGATCATCCCCAGTGAGGCTATGGCCAAGCTCCGGCAGGTGAGCACCCACCCAGGCTTGTCTGGTCAGGCCCTGACCCAGAGTTCCCACCCTTGAGGTCACCCGGTCCTCATTCAAACTCAGACTCTGACCCTATTCTTCCTCCCCACACTCTCTCGACACCCCACTCGTTGAGAGTCCTGATTCCCTGGTTTTGCACCAGGCCAGGCTGACTACAGAGCCCAGATCTCTAATCTGTACCAAGCCCCAACTCTCAGGGCTGCTGGCCCAGGCCCTACCTCTTTTTGGATAAAGATTGAGGCGTGGATTCTGAAGATGTATTGAACATCACCTCTCCCCGTGTCCCTCATTAGCTTGGGTTACTAATGGACAAATGACCTTGTCTTTAGAACCTTTGTCTCCTCTTTGAGGAGCAGGTTAGAATCAGAACTCATCCACGAAAGGGTGTCAGAAAGACCGCTTACAGCCTTTCAGCTCACCGACCACTGGATCCCTCCCTGGAGTTCCAGCTGTCTCGGCTGACCTGTGCATCAGGCCTGCCTTGTGGTGTCTTCCCTCCCTTTGCCGGATCTTCTTGGAAAGATTTAGTCCCTTGGATTCAGCAAGCATTATGATCCATACTGACATGTACCCCGGAACAGCTTGTCTAGCCTACTTACCCCTAGTCTCCCAGCTGCACCATGAACTTACCAGCAAGCTCTAGAAGTTAGCTCTGTATACAACCCACTTTGAGTAGAAGCCAGAAATGCCTTAACTGCCTCCTGGAGCGTCGGTTTCTCAGGGGTTGGGGCTCGGTGCCCCTCCACTGCTTTGGCTCCATGGGCCTGGGATCAAAGAGGGCATGGTTGGTGATATTCTCCTCTTGCATCTACAGAAAAACCCCCGTGCGGTGCGGCAGGCTGAAGAAGTGCGGAGTCTGGAGCAGCTACACATGGACGTCGCCGTGAACTTCAGCCAGGCGGGCCTGCTGAGCCCCCATCTCCACAACGTGTGTGCCGAGGCCACTGACGCCATCTACACGCGCCAGGAGGATGTCCGCTTCTGGACGGAGCAGCGAGGTCAGCTGGGGGCTGCCCTCGGTGGGAAGAGGGAGAAGCAAATTGGCTGAGTGACTCTTTGTTGTGTTTGGGGGTGAGTTCCTGAGGCCTCTCAGGGATGGACCAGGCAGACACGCCCAGTGTGGACACTCTGTTGCTGCGGCTGGTGACGGGTAGATCTGTTCGGCACCAGTTAAGTGTGAGTGTGAAGTCATGAGTGACAGGCGTTCTCAGGGGAGGGCGAAACCCCCCAGGGTAGGCTAGAATAGGGCAGGAAGGCTTCTGGAGGAGGTGGTGACTACGTGGCTGAAATGAGGAGACTCACAGGAGACAGCCTGCCAAGTCCTGGGAAAGGAGACTTTGCCACGTTCTTGTCACTACCCATAGTGAAGACACAGATGTTCCTGTTGTCATGTCCGCTGGCACTTCTCACAGGCAGCATCCCACCATCCCTGGTGCCAGCATCTCTCCCAGAACCCTCAGGGTCTCCTCCCAGCTCCGCAGGGCTCCTCTGCCACTCCGCTGGCCCTTCTCCAGGTCCCTTTGCTAGGACTGTCAAGTCCTGTGTATAGAAAGGACAGGGAGATTCAAGATGCTTGCTCCCGGGCCTTCTGCCCAGCCAGCTGCACATAGAGAAGCCTGTCCCTCCCAAGGCAGGGCTGAACTTTGTGGCCGACTCCATAACACCAGACCACACCCCAAGTGAAGGGACGGGCCTGACCCTAGCACTAGTTCCTTCCCACAGTCACCAGAGTCCTGGTCAGGTGGATCCCCGTCACCTACCCCAGCACTCCGCATGCGTGTTCTTCTCATACCTGTCCCCACTCTGCTTTTATTATCCCATCCCTGCCCTGCCCACTCAGGTGATGTCCTTCAGGTAGTTTTATTTAAAGCATTGGTGGCTGCTTGACCCAGTGTAGTCTGTGAAATCAGACAGGCCTGCTTTAGGTCCTGACCCCCTACTCCCACCCCCTTCATTGTATGACTCCAGCCATGTCAGTGAACTTCTCTGGACCGACTTTGAATCCCTGGCACATAGTTGAGACTCCGTGGAGGAGGATGGCTATGGTTTAGTGTAACCCATTAGCCTTGCCTCAGGCCTGGGTCTCAGCCCTGTGTCCGTCCACAGGCTGCCTTGGAAGGGGAGACAGGAGAGAAGGCTGTGCTGGGCTGTAGATGTTCCTACCTTCTTCATGTATGCCTCTTCCCCCAGGTGTGGACGGTTCAATATTCGAGGCCCTCCCCAAGGAGCAGATGGAGTTGCCCCGCTGTGGGCAAGTGAGGGACCGAGGAAAGCCCTGTGCCTGCCGCTACAGTCTGAGCCTGGCCTGGTACCCTTGCATGCTCAAGTATTGCCACAGCCGTGACCGGCCAGCACCCTACAAGTGCGGCATCCGAAGCTGCAGGAAAAACTACAGTTTTGACTTCTATGTACCCCAGAGGCAGTTGTGCCTCTGGGATGAGGACCCCTAACTGTGGGGAGCTTGAACCAAGGAGAGCTGCTTGGGCCCCGCAAGTTCTTCACTGGCCACCAGAGGATGTGGCAACCCTATCTGGGGCCTTAGGTCCCTTCCTGTGCCTCAGACGCTGAAACCATGGCCTCATTTGCCTGACTGTGAAAGGGTGTCGCCCAACAGGGACAACCTTGGGCAGCCCTGATGCCTATCTGTGCCCATCTGGGGGACAGAGAGGGATAAACCATTCTGCAGACTGGTATCCTCCCCTCTTCATGTCCCCTGAAATGTCCCACATACATGCAATCAAAATGCACGGGCCCAGGTTTCTTCTGTGGAACTTGTTCTGGGGGTGTATGTGTGACATCATGCCTTCCCCACCAGCAAGGAGACCTTTGACCAGAGAGGAACTTCTGCGGACTCATGTCCCAACTCCCATGCTTTCTCTCTGCCTCCGAGGCACCGGGGAGCAGGAGACTGCTGCCCCAGAAATCGCCACATGTGCCTTTCCTGGGACCAAACTTGGCTGCTTCAGCAAGCACCAATTCTTCCTCCCGTTGGACTGAAGTACTTTGGCAAGGTTCTAGGGCATGAAGGGAGCATGAAGTACAAGGAAAACTTGAATTCCAGATTTTTAATGCAAAATATTTATCGTTTGTACCAGAAATAAAAGTTTTTAAAAAGGTTTCCCTCACCTAATGGCGCTGGCGTAGGCGTTCTGAGAGAACTTTTGCCCAATGCTGCCTCCTAGTGTCAGAAATGCGCCTCTGCACAATTAGAGCCAGTTTGGGCAAAGCAACTTCTAAAGCTCCTACTGTGCTGTCTGGGAGCGGTTCTGTGCTTAAGGTGATGAAACAAGGGGACCTGGAAGAAGCAGTAGTTAAGAGCACTTGCTGCTCTTCCAGAGGACCCAAGTTCAATTCCTAGCACCCACGTCGAGGGTGGGAAGGCTCACAGACACCTGTAACTTCAGCATAATGGGGATCTGCCACTCCTTTATGGCCTCCAAGCGCTCCCACACTTAAACATAAAAGGGGCTAGATCAGTGGTTCTCAGCCTTCCTCATGTTGCACAGTTCTTCATGTTGTGGTGACACACACACACACACCACAAAATTATTTTCATTGCTACTACTTGGCTGTAATTTTGCTACTCTTATGAATTGTAATATAAATAATCTATGTTTTCCGATGGTCTTAGGTGACACCCCCCGCCCCACCCCACACACACAGGGTCTTGACCCACATGTTGAGAACCACTGGGCTACAGGATGGCTCAGTGATGAAGAGCACTGGCTGCTCTTCCAGAGGACCCATGTGCCATTCTCAGGACCTACATGGCAAGTTGGTTGCCCTCTTCTGGTCTCTAAGGATACTGCATGAATTTGATATTCAGACATACATGCAGGCAAAACACCAGTACAAATAAAAATAAGATTAAGATATACATATATATGTATTATATATACATATGCATTATGTGTATATAATTTATGATGAGATAAGGACTGAAGGTGTAGCTCAGTTATAGACATTTCCTCGGCATGGACAAGGCCCTGGGCTCAGTGTCCTGCATAGCATAAGAAAGAAAGAAAGAAAGAAAGAAAGAAAGAAAGAAAGAAAGAAAGAAAGAAAGAAAAGAGAAGAGAAGAGAAGAGAAGAGAAAGAAAGAAAGAAAGAAAGAAAGAAAGAAAGAAAGAAAGAAAGAAGGAAAGAAACCAGTAATCGCCAAAGCAAAGGCAGAGACACAGGGCTGATGTTAGAACCAGACATCCGGCATCCACATCTGGGCCCTCGCCAGAAGTCGTGGTGCTCACCTGTAGTGCCAGCACGGTGGACGCAGAGGGTCTTTGCAAATTCAAGTCCAGCCCGTGCTGCATAGTGAATTGCAGACCAGAGGCTGCTGTGCTTACTCTGGACGAATCTTGAGAAGAGGTGGGTGTGAGCCGAGGCTCCAGGACAGTGACAGTTTGGCAAGGTGAAGGCAGCAGTGGTTTGTGGGTAACAAAGTCTCTGGTTCCACAGAGGACCCAGTTCCTCAGGAGAGGAGACAGATATAAACCCTTCTTCAGAGGCCTTGGGGAAGGAAACGGGGCCAGCAAACCCATCTATCCAGTGCCTCCAGAACATGCTTACAGGCCAGAGCGTCTGCTGAGAGCCAGGTCAAGTGCAGCGTCTGTGGGAGACAGCCTTCTCAGGTAACAGCCTGCATTCTAAGCCCATCGTTAAGGGCCCACTGCAACCTTGCCAGTAGACAAGGAATGAGGCACATTGCCCTTTTCTCTTTCTCCATCTTGCCTAATGGAGCTCATTCGTGATCCCCAGTCTCTGTTCTGGGTGGAGGAAGAGCTACTTGAAGGTTTATCCTTCCCCGGTGGACTCCCTTACTTCTTTCACTCTTCCTACAGAGTTCCAAATGTTCAGGAGTAACACATTTAAAAAATGAATGTCTCTTCCAAAGGTTGTGAGCTCAATTTCCAGCAACCACATGGTGGCTTACAACGGTCTGTAATGAGATCTGGCACCCTCTTCTGGCATGTGGACATACATGGAGGCAGAATGTTGTACACATAATAAATAAATAAATCTTAAAAAAAAAAAACCCCAAAAAAAAAACAAGCAGCCAGGAGGTGGTGGTGCAGGTCTTTTGGTCCCAGCACTCAGGAGGCAGAGGCAGGTGAATCCCTGAGTTCAAGGCCAGCCTGCTCTCCAGAGTGAGTTCCAGGGTAGCCAGGACTATTGTACAAAAAATTCCCTATCTTGAAGAACAAAAACAAACAAACAAAAAACATAACAACTAGTGCTATGAAGAGAAACCCTGTCTTGAAAAACCAAAAACCAAAACAAAACCCACAACCCAACAAACAAAACAAAAAAGACATCAAGAACGTTTTAAACTAGGGTTTTAAGCGCGGCATAGTGGCACATGTCTATAATCCCAGAATGTTCCCATTAGGTGTGGTAGCACGCGCCTATGACCTCAGCATTCAGGAGGTTATGCCAGAAGGATTGCGGGGAGCTCAAGTCAGCCTGGGCTGCAAATCAAATACCAGGCCAGCCACGGCAAGACTGTCTGAAAAATAAACAATAAGTAAAATGATTGTCAAGACCTAGAGTGTTTTTCTCAACTTCCTGGCTGGGGACCTCTGAACTTGCCTATCCCCTGCACTGATGGTGCTCTGAACACTTTCTTTCTGGGCGTCTTTGACTAGGGCCCCTTGCTGGGCATCAGGGATGGGGGTAAAAATATAAGTTTCCCTGAGTCTTTGGTGTTGGTCTTATATTCAGTAAAGTAGAACCAGTTACTATGATATCCCAGGGTCCGAGTAGCAGATGCCCTTCCCAGCCTCATCCCCACCTCTGTCTTGGTGCCCCAGATGCCACCACAGTAGCTAGTGCTTTGCCTGGACAAATGGTACCAAGTCATCACCATCACTGGGCTGTTTGGAGCAATAGGCGGTCAGCCACGGGAGGCACAGGGAGAAAAGGCTTTGATTACTGTCTGTCTTAGTTACTGTCCTATTGCTGTGAAGAAACCAGAGCAGCTCTTAGGAAACATTTAACTGGGACTTGCTACAGTTTTAGAAACTTAGTCCATGATCACCATGGAGGGAAGCAGACAGGCATTGTGGAGCAGGAGCTGAGGGCTTTACATCCTGATCCTCGGTCAGCAGAAAGAGAGAGAGATGTTGGGCCTGGGGTGGAGTTTTGAAACCTCAAATCCTACCCCCGTTTGACATGCCTCCTCCAACAAGGCCACACCTCCTAATCACCCCAACAGCCAACTAAGTGGGAACCAAGAATCAAATATGTGAGCCTCTCGGGGGTCGTTTTCATTCAAACCATCATGCTGCCCTGGGAAGTTCTGTGACAGCCCCTGGAAGAGGTGATTTCATCCACAGCCATTCCTCTGTGACACTTCAGTGTTTACAAAGAACCTTTCTAGCCAGGCGTGGGGACTCAGGCCTGTGGTCACAGCACTCGGAGACTGAGTCTCAAGAACTGAGAGCTTGAGGCTAGCCTGGGCTACATAGCAAGATATTGTTTGATAAAACAAACCAACAGAACTGTCTCTGTGTCGACTACTCCACTGGATCTTGTGGGATCGGGTAGCATTTTATAGAGGAATAACTCACATGTAAAACTGAGTGGCTTGCCCAATGTCAGTGACCAGCTAGCACAAAGCTGACTCAGGCATGGCGTCACACATACCTGTAATTCTAGTCCTTGTAAAGTGGAGGCAGGGGGATAGGATATTCAACACTAACTTTTTGTCAACAAAACAAACAAGAAACAACACAAAAAGAACCAGAATGTGGTGTAGGAGGCCCTTCTGTCTTTGTGTTGCTTTCATTGGTTAATAAGGAAACTGCTTTGGGCCTGTTGATAGGGCAGAACTTAGGTAGGCAGGGAAGACAGAACTAAATGCTAGGTGAAAGAAGAAAGCAGAGTCAGAGAGAAACCATGGATCCACCTGAGACAAGACGGTGGGAATTTTACCCAGTAAGCCACTGCCACATGGCGATACACAGATTGATAGAAATGGGTTAAATTAAGATGTAAGAAACTAAAGCTAAAGGGCCAAGCAGTGATTTAATTAATACAGTTTCTGTGTGGTTATTTAGGGGTTAAGCTAGCCAGGTGGCCAGGACAAACAAGTGGGCCCTCCTTGCAACAAGATGGGTATGGTGGTTTGAATGGGAATGACCCCCACAGGTACATATATTTGAATGCTTGGTCAAGGAATTGTACCACTTAAGAGGGATTAGAAGGTGTGACCTTGTTAGAGTGGATGCAGCTTGTTCAAGGAAGTATGTAACTGGGGGTAGGCTTTGGGGTTTCAAAAGCCCAAGCCAGTCTTAGTTTCACTTCCTGCTGCCTATGGATCCGGATATAGAACTCTCAGTTACTTCTCCAGTATGTCTGTCTGCATGCTGACACTCTCCTACCATGATGATAGTGGCTAAACCTTTGAAACTGTAAGTCAACCTCAGTTAAATGCTTTCTTTTATAAGAGTTTGCCGTGATCATGCTGTCTCTTCACAGCAATAGAGCACTGTCTAAGACAACAGGGTTTATCTGACTGGCCAACTAGAGCCTTCAAGAACATGGCTCCTAGGGCTAGAGAGATGGCTCAGTGGTTAAGAGCACTGGCTGCTCTTCCAGAGGACCCGGGTTCAATTCCCAGCACCCACATGGCAGCTCACAATTGTAACACAAGTTCCAGTGGATCTGACTCCCTCACACAGACATACATGCAGGGCAAATACTAACACACATTAAAAATTCAAAATGAAGGGGCTGGAGAGATGGCTCAGAGGTTAAGAGCATTGCCTGCTCTTCCAAAGGTCCTGAGTTCAATTCCCAACAACCACATGGTGGCTCACAACCATCTGTAATGGGGTCTGGTGCCCTCTTCTGGCCTGCAGGCATACACACAGACAGAATATTTTATACATAATAAATAAATAAATAAATTTTAAAAAATAAAAATGAATAAAAAGGAAATAAAATTACTTTTTTAAAAAGAGAACATGGTTCACCTACAAAAGAGGGCCCAGATTTTGGGGGGGGGGAGAAATCTAAAGTGTAGGAGCAGTGCCCTCTGGTGGTAGCCACTGGACAAAAGAGGAAGAGGGGCACAAGTGACACAAGATACACAGTGACGTTGGGATCAGAGTTGGCAGAACAGGAT